TTACAATTTTTTTAATGAAATTCTTATTAAAAAATGTTTAGTTAAATTTGATTTAAAATAGATCAAAGTTTTTAAAGTAATCATCCCAAAAACAACCAACAAAAATCTATTACATGAGACTATCACATTTAAGAAAATTATTATTTTTTTAATATTAAAAGTATATACTTTTCCCTGTTACACTTCGAAGAGAACCTAATTGAAGCCAGTTGTGTACGTGCACGTCTGGAAGTAGGTTTCTTTTTTTTTTTTTTAACATAGGTCAACAAGAAGGTATTGAAAAAATTAGATACTGAAATAAATGCTGTCCACAAAATTAGAAGGTAGCATACAGCAGATTTGCACGATTTGAATTTCAAGCTTATTTTCTCTTGTAAGAGAGGTTAACAGATATTTCTTAAAAGAAAAATATGATTTAAATATGATGATTACTTGGGAGACAAACACTTACATTATAATTTATTTGAAGGAACTAAAGCAAAAGGGAGAAAGACCTCAGATAGGGCGTTAATTAAGTGTCTACTAACTATTTACTATGTGAAAGCACAAAATATGAAAATGAGAAATCTAACAAATTGCTCAAAAAAGAAAAAAAATAATAATATGATAATGAAAATCTGAAAAGAATTAATGAAGAAAATATAAACTAAATCTAATAATATGGTCATGAATTAATCTATAACAAGTACTGAGATATATATTAAAGAAAAAGTAAAAAGTATCTTGAAGATATAGATAGATGGTGTACTTACAATGCAAGATTAGTGGAGGAAATAGGTAAAGTTGGACACTGATAACCAACTTTGGTCTTCCAAAGCAAATTGTTAGAAGTAGCGGCAGGTTCAATTTCTGATACGAGGAGTTGATGAACCGAGGAGAAGAAACAACTTAAATAGGCACTAGGCAATAGCAGGGTGCATTTCCTGGAAGGCGCTTAGCAAATGTAAGTGAAATCAACGAGAGAATCTTATTGTATCAAAAAGAAAGACTTGAAAGATAAAAGTGTAAAATACATGAAAATAAGTATCATTGTATCAAAAAGAAAGACTTGAAAGATAAAAGTGTAAAATACATGAAAATAAGTATTATTTCACACCCAACCTATATAAATATATTTTAAATTAAATTATTGACCTCCAAGTTTTTGTAAAAAAAATTGAAGTATAAGGTTCTTCTTATTATTATTATTTTTTTATATTAGACGGTAAAAATTATTTGAGAAAGATCAAGATTATTTATATATTCTTCAAATTTAACACAATTACCTAAAAATTGAGTTTTAAATTGATACTAAAAAATCAATAGATTAAAATAAATAAGCATTTCAGGGACTTAAAGGATACCTTAAAAGAGCAGTGGGAGATGCCAAGATAATTAGAATTTTGTGTGAACATATGCTGATAATCAGAGAGTGTGGACCCCTTAACAGCACGTGTCTGCTCCGCCCATCAATCTACAAAAAGAGAGTCCGTGTCAGGATTTTGGACTAACAAGCAATTTTGTTTTTTCACGGGTAAAACTTTGCTCGTCTCTCAACTTTTACTTTTTCTGCACTGTGATCTTCACAGGTTTTATTTATTTATCTGGATCCTTGACTTCATCTTTCTCTTTTTCAAAATTTTCTTCTCCAATTCAATCCTAATATTTCTGATTTCTTCCAAAAGGAAAACTTAACACAATAAGAATTCAACTTATCATATATTGATTTATGTATGTCTTAATTAATTTTTAAAAAAATTATATTTTCTAAATTTATGACTTTCTTCCTTTTTTATCCACTTCTTTTTGTGGTGTTAGTTATATTTATTTCTCTACTGAAAGTTCTATATTAATTTACTTGAAGTGCCTAAAAGAAAGGAGACTTCACAAGATTATCAATTAAGTAGCAACAATTTAATTAGGAAAAATCGAACAATAGTACAAGGAGGAATCTAACAATTTAAAAAATAAAAAAATAAAAAATGAGAATCAGATGAGAAAAAAATTTAAACGAAAGACTATCTTAAAACTATATATGCCGTTTAAATGAAATTTCTATTAAAGAAAATGTTTTAGTTAATTCAATTTAAGTAGAACAAACTTTTCAACGTAGTAACTCCAAAAACAATGAGTAAAAATCTCGCGCATGAGACTTACATCTAAGAGACTTATTTATTTCTTTGGATATAAAAAGCTACATGCTTTTTTATGTTATACTTCAAAGCGAACATAACTGACAGAATTGCGTACCTGTAGGTCTAGAAGAGGGTTTTGAAGAAATTAGATACTAAAAAGCAAATTAGGCCCAGGAAATTAGAAAGTAGCATACAGTAGATCTGCTTGATTGCAATTGCAAGCCTACTCTTTCTTATAAGAGAGGTTCATGGACATTTCCTGAAAGAAAAATGTGATTCAAATATGATCATTAGATAGGAGACAAATACTTCTATATTAATTTACTTGAAGTGATTAGTGACCATAAAAAAATAAAAAAGAGACAGACGTCAAATAAAGGATCAATTAAAACGAGAATCTGAAAAGAAAGACGTCGAATTGAGGATCAATTAAAACGAGAATCTGAAAAGAAATGAAGAAAATACAAACTAAATTGAAAAATATGGTCATGAATATTACTCCATAAGAAACACTCATATATATCAAGAAAAAATGAACAGAATCTTGAAGATATGGATAGATAGTTTACTTACATGCAGGGTTAGCAGAAGAAATAGGTAAAGTTGGACACTGATAACCAACTTGGGCCAAGCAAAGCAAATTATTAGAATTAGGAGCAGGTTCAATTTCTGATGCCAGGAGTTGATTAGCCAACTAAGGAGAGCAAACAACTTAAATAGGCACGAGCTGGGCAATTGCTGGGTGTATTTCCTGCAAGATGCTCAGCAAATACAAGCGCAATCAACGATAGAAGCTTATTGTATCAAAAAGAAAGACTCGAAAGATGGAAGTTGTAAAACACATGAAAACAAGCATCAATATTTCACACCCACCCGTATAAATATTCTATATTTTATATTATATAATAATTATAAAATTATAAATTTCTTATTATAATGTATCATTAAATGAAGAAATATAAAAAATATAATAAGTAAATCTCTTAATGAAAAAACTAATTATATAATAATAAATTTTTATTTATTA